CAACTCACTCAAAGTACCTCTAGACTTTGGAAAAATGTCTCCAACGCTTCTGATTATGCACTTTTTGATTTCAGACAGAGTCTCTCTATTCAGAATTTTGAATATCTCACTCTGTCTGCTTGATAATTGTGATTTTATTAATTTCATCCTGGCCGCCCCAAGCACAAACACCTTCAAGTTGCCTCAAGGAATGGGAAATTTGCTCATATCTCTCCCCCTGTTGTGCAGAATTGAATTTCAACCACAGTCTCTCTATTCAGAAATCCAAAATTCCAACTCCATCTTTATTTTTTATGTGATTTTATTGATTTCATCCGGGCCGCCCCAAGCACAAACACCTCCAATCTGCCTCAAGGAATGAGAAATTTGCTCATATCTCTCCCCCTGTTGTGCAGAATTGAATTTCAACCACAGTCTCTCTATTCAGAAATCCCAAATTGCAACTCCATCTTTAGTTTTTATGTGATTTTATTGATTTCATCCCGGCCGCCCCAAGCACAAACACCTCCAATCTGCCTCAAGGAATGAGAAATTTGCTCATATCTCTCCCCCTGTTGTGCAGATTGGAATTTCAACCACAGTCTCTCTATTCAGAAATCCAAAATTCCAACTCCATCTTTATTTGTTTTGAGACTTTAGCCCTTTTGGTGGCCTTTGACACTTCATGCCTTCACTATTTGGTTAGTCTCCTTGGTGGTTTCTTCAGCCCACCTCCTTTCAAGGTGGTTGACCTATCTTGTTCTACTATTTCTTAACTCATCTTTGATATCATGGTTGCAACTTTCCAAAGACTGGATCATATGGAATTTTATGTTTGTATTTTGGGTTATGTCAGTGGTTTGTCACATTTGTGATATGTATATTTTAAATCCAGTGCAGCCCCAACCGATTATGCTGAGGTGTGCTTTCTAAGACAGGCAGTGATCCATTTGATTTCAAAACCATTCCTTGTATTTTGAGCGATCATATCATCCATCTTCCTTTTTTACTTCCACACAATGGTTTCCACTCGGGCCAATCGGGGTTCTCAAAGTTCTGCTCCCCCAACCCAAACCACGTCCACCACAACCAAGACCACAACAAAGAAGTCCAAAAGAAAACGAACCCGTACAACTAAAGGTCTCACTACTTCGGATTCGGAGCATACTCAAGATGACATCAACGGAAACGGTCAAAAGGAAGTTGACACTCGTGATGAAGAAACTGAAGAGGAATCGAATCGCTTAGAATCAATTGCTTTCCGGTCTCGTTTTCCTGGATTCGAGATTGATAAATTTGAGGAGAAGAGGAAAGACTGGACACTCATTGCCCTTCGCCAAGCAATCGCCAAACAGAATTCAAAGACCAGTAAGGCCCCGCAAGAGATCAAGTCTTTAGTTTTGAGTATCCGGATGGAGTATGAGAAACGAATGCTAATGGCTGCCCTCATGGGTGGAGTGCCTGAGATCGTGGTGTGGAACATTGTGTAAGTCCTTTCTGATCAAACTGATATGCATCTGAATGTGTACTGACTAAACTACTAAACTCGATGTGTGATTACTATCTTGGTGTGTACCTTTCCTGATATGATAGGGGCAAAGGTGCAAAGAAAGGCCACGCGAACCCTTGGATCCGTTTCTTAGCATTTTGCCATCAATCGCTAGGAGAGAAACGTATGTAACAATGACATGACAAAATCATTTCTCTTTTCTAACTCGGCTGATTTGTTCTTTTCTCTTCCCCTTTTCATCTCATCTCTTTCTCTTAGTACCTGAACCGGGTGACAAAGACGGGTGGACTAATCGTAATAAAAAATCTGCCAGCAATTGGAAAAAGCTTAGCAAGCATGAAAAGGATGTTTTTCGAGATCCGTATTTTTTTGCGTTAGCGAATCTACCTGATCTTTCTAACGTGCCATTTGCGGATGAAAACGAGATCAATGAAGACGAGACTGACCTCCAACACCTCGAAGAATCGGCACCCACTCCTTCCGTCCACAAACTGACTGACGAACAGAAAAGTCTATATCAGCCTTTGTTTGACAAACTCGTGGACATTGAAAAGCTTCAATCAGTTTACGGTAAGCCAACTCCTTCGAGTTCTGTAGCTACTGTACAGAAAAAGTCCCTAGCTGCTTTGCGAAAAGCTCATCACGCCGTAAGTGTCTCTACAATCACTTTTCTTGCATTCACTTTCTCATTCTTTTCTACTGTTTAGTTTTCTGTTATATGCCAGCAATATCAAATTACTTATTACTTAGCAGCTGTTAGCTGTGGATCCACCGAAGGGTGGACACAAGTCTTTTCTAATAATCCGTCATTCGCAAACTGGTCATCAAAAGAAGCCAAAGTGCCACAGACTTTGTCTTCTTACATTCATGGCAAGTCTGCAGTACAAACAGTCGAGGGCAGCAAGGTTCAGCAACCGAGTGACGAGCGTAGAACTCGTCTTGGGAGGATACTCAACAAACTTGTTGGTAAGTTTGTCATATACTCTTTTCGACTCTTTCACCTTTGCTGAGTATGATTGAGAATGTTACCCTCTTGTGACAGATGATGTGTACAAAGGAGGCAAATTCCCGAAAAGCGATGACCCGGAAGGCGAGTTGAAGAAAAGGGCTTTGCCCATTCGTGTTGTGCAAAAGGCAGGTAGTGTTATGTCAAAAGAGGAACTCGAGGTAGGACATCGTAAGATCAAAGATGCTACGGTCAAGTCCTGGCTTAAGGACATTGAGAACGGGAACTTTGTAATCGAACGCATCCCCCATTCCGAGACAACCAATTCGAATTCATGTCAACAACGCTCGTCTGAAAAGTCAACAAAGAGAAAACAATCATCATCTAATCAAAACCGCTCTGAAGAAGATGATGACGCGGATCTAAATCCACCTACAGTACGTCCACCCATTGTATCATCTCAACATGCAAGATTAAAGATAACTAACCTTCGATTAATTGGATATTGCTAATTAGAACCCGAAGAGATCTCGAGTTGTAATTCCTTCTGACGACGAAGATGCAGAAGAAGATCAAAATGGTTCAAATCAAGTTGTAGTGAGTCCAGCCCCTGTACACAAACATGCGATATTGGATGAATACCAATTTATTTATCCACAAATAAATTACTCATTATTCTTAACCAGAAATCGAAAGGAGGTGCAAATGCCGAACAAGGAGGAGGTCGTCAACCACCTGGGTCACCCGAGCTCGAGAACCGATGTGCCGAAATGGATAGTTCGTTCTCCTTACCAAACAATGGATGTGGTATTGAATGACCACAGTACTATCAGTATTTGACCACTTGTCTGGAAGATACAAATTTGTACTTGGTATCATCCTCAACCACTTATGATTAATCACTTCTCAACTTTCAGTACTTTGACTCGTGTCTTAGGTGCTTCCATCCCCTCTGCTTCCTACTTTAAGTTTAGTACACGGCAAGATACAAGAAGAAGAGAATAGCCTTTGATATATCACTTCTTAATCTTCAACGCTTGAAAACTCGTCTTTTTTATTTTTCTACTATCACTTTAGTTTGCGTACAAAACAAAATTAAAATACAAAAAATAGCCTTTGATAAACCTTTTCTTGATTTTCAGTGCTTTGAAACCTCTCTTTTTGTACTTCCATCCTCTTGTCTTTCTTATTTGATTTGAGTTTGTGATTTGATGACCTTGAGGCCCTATGCGACCATAGTGTTGTTGTTCGTGTGTATTGAGATTGTATTAGTCAAGAATAGTCGATTTCAATTGTCATACTTAATTAAATACAACTTCTCTTTGTTTGAAATTTTGAGTGGCTGTGCAACTAGCTCGATCCAGAACTGAATCCGCTGATTTACATCAATGCCAAGTTCTAATTTGAATCTCAAATCTCGTCTGAGCATGTACTGACTGGAGTCTGGTAAGTACGTTGAAAGCTGTTGAAAGATACTCGAAGTGCGAACGATTGATACATACCAAGACTGGTGTATCTTAGACATGTGAATCTGATCTGATAGGTATTGATTGAAAGACCAATGTGTGTAGGCTGTCTTTGACATGAAAACCACGGAAAACTAGTCCATCGAGCTCTCAAAACTCAACTCGAATCAAATGAGTGAGCAGAAATAGTCTAATAGATGAACTTTGTATCAGTAGTGGACAAAATTTGGTCGGGTATGTTTTGGTTCAAGGCACCTACTCGCACCAGCACCGTGAGTGATGACTTGTGGTCACTGTGAAGGATCTTTGAATGTGGTTCAAAGACTGCAATAATCTTAGTGCGATTATCTCACTGATAATCCTAGCGCATGACTATTGCGGATCGTGACTTCGTCTACGCAAGTACGCTGGAGCTCTTAAAGACAACTCTCGTAATGTGTAATACCTCAGAGGGTCAATGTGCGTCAGAGCGCTGTGGGATGTGGGAAGGCCTGAAAGCAATCTGGATGTGTGTCTGTGTCTGAGCAATCTGGATGTGCCTTACAGCGCTGTGGGAGGGCCTCAGATCGGTCTGGATGTGCCTCGGAGCGCTGTGAGGAGGGCTCAGAGCGCTCTGGGTGCGTCTCAGATCGGTCTGGATGTGTCTCAGAGCGCTCTGGATGCGTCTCAGAGCGCTCTGGATGCGTCTCAGAGCGCTCTGGATCGTCATAAAAGTGAAGTGACTTGAAAAAAAATTTAAGTGGGTGAAATGAGAGGTAACACCTGAATCTCATACTTGAGTATTGAAAACATGGAGTTTGTTAAGTTTTTGATGACTTATAGTCCGCGGAAGTAGTGCACCAGAGCATCTGGGTGCTCTGGAGTCAAGATAGGGCTTCTCAGCCAGTCATATGACACACTGTATGACTGGCTTGTAAGTCAACAGACACAGGTGACACAGGTGATCCAGTTTTGGATGCCGTCGTTGCCTGGAGCGCAGAGGGGGGGACTGTTGTTTATTACGGTTTTGAGAGAGTCTTTGTTGAGATATTTGATGAGTTCAGGAATGGTCGAAGCAGTTGTTTTCGTGTCTTTGGTGAGTGGGAAAACCATAGGTGTTGTATCCTGTAGGTCGCACGGGGCTGTAGCTACACATGTGGCTTGAAATAACGCATTAGCTTTTTCTTCGTTAGATGAACAAGTTTTACCTTGTACTGTTATCAGTGTATTGATAACTGGAGACGGTTGCCTCCCTGAGGCGTACTTTTTTGCTTGAAATAGCGTGTCATGGGTTAGTGTTGTGAGGTAAGTCCTCCAACTGTTTTCTTTTGCCTTGTTGACCGCTTGTCGGAAGGCGTTGCGTGCTGATTTGAAGGCTTGGCGGTCTTCTTCTGTTCTAGTTTTCTTCATGCGCCGTTCGGTCTTCAAGGCGTCTTTCCGTAGTGGCTCCAGGATCTTGGGGTTCCACCATCGTTTGTGCTTACCTACTGGTGGTTTCCAGGGTGAGTTGTTGTTCAAAGCGTTAGTTATTGCTTCTATCAGTTCTTTGTCAAATGTCTCAATCATTTCACAGTTGATGAGCGGTTGAATCTCCGGAAGATTGTTTTGAACTTCTGTTTTGAATGCTATTCTTTCGACCGCTTTCCAGTTTTTGGAGATTCTGGCTTGGCCTCGTGCGGAGTTCGTTGTATTGGTTTTTGTGAGGAAGGTTGTGATGATCGCCTGGTGATCTGAAAAGTGACTGGTGATGCTGTCCTCGTCGATGAAGCAGAGTTGAATTGCTTCGTCGAGGGTCTCGTTAACCCAGACTTGATCTATGGACGTGCCCAGAGTCGTTCAAGAGCCGACCCCAAAAGTGGAGATTCCTCGTCGTGAGCGGAGATGCATATCCCATTCTGACATGAGATCCATCAGGCGTTCTGAGTCTTTGTCGTGTGTCTTGATGTGAGGAGGATTCCATAGCGTGGAATGCAGGTTACAGTCCATATTGATGACCGTTGGGAGAAGTTGGATGTTCAGAGGTAAGCTTTTGATTAAGGTCTCGTAAGCTGTGAATCCTGAGAATACTGCAGCATCGTTGTACACACTGATAGCAAGCAGCGTAAAGCCGGATGCAAAAGTGATAGTACAGGCTGCTATGTCTCTCGAAGGTGACGGTAACGGGTTAATTTGTGCGTTGAGATTTTTCCTGATGTATAAGCATGCTCTCGGGCGTGCTCCGGTATTTTGTTCGGTGGGCGTGGGGCTTATGAGGATCCAGTTGGTGTGTTCTTGAGGTAGATAATCTAAGTTGTTCACATTTGGTTCTTGTAAGGATAAGGTTGAAAATGAATTTGTAAGCTCGGAATTGAAAAGAGAGTTTGAAACATCTGGTGAGTGTCGGCAATTCAACTGGAGAATTGACTCGGAATCAGGTAAGTTAAGCTTTTTTTGAAGTTGTTCTAACATTGTAATGTAGAATCAGCGTCTGCTTGGATAATAACAATATTAGGAGAGCCACTTGGGTTGTGAGGCGGTAGACCTTCAGCAATGCGTGTGGCGCACAGTGGATGGAAGGGTGAGTGTAGAAGATCTTGATTGTTAGATTCAAACAAACTCTTTGCTGTTTTTGCTGTGTCAGACTTGATTAATGTTCTTACACAAGCTGTGCACTTCATAGGTGCTGTGCCTTTTTTAGGGCACGCGTGAGCATGGTGTCCGTCTCCACAATATGGAAACATTGCTGAGGACGGGCACAATGGGGCCGTATGGCCTGTCTTCCTACAGTTGTAGCACCTTTTAGGTGGGTCTCTGCCTGCTTCGGTCTTGTGGAGTCCTCGACCAAACCATATTTTTTCTCTAATGCATTTTTCAGCCTGGGCCTGCGTCTCTAAGCCTATAAGGAGAGTGGAGTACCTCTTATTAGGGTCATCCTTGAGTTTGGGGTTGAGCCACCTAATGTAGGCTGCTTCCTGTAGTAGATCGGGATTGGAGGCTATAAGTTCCTCTCTGTGGCTGTGAATCTCCGGATCGAAGGATGTTGGGATCGCGTGGACTAGCACGTTGAAGTGTTCGGGTTTGATTCCTAAAGAGGCCGAAACCTTCGGGAGCCAAGCTTTCTCCATTTGCCGAACACATTCAGCATGGACCGCGCTCTCCAGATGTAGGACCAAGTCGTTTGATGGGTGACGCTGGACCGTCTTCACTGTAATGATGGACTCGGAGGAGTCACTAACTTTTATGTTGTTGGCTTTGAAGGCCGCGTTGAAGCCTTGGATCAGCTGTGTTGTAGACGCGCCACTGAGTGCCACATTTGCTTTGTCCATCTGGACTAAGGTAACTGTGTTTGTCAACCGCTTCTTAGCCTTAGGCTTTTGCGGTTGGCTTTGGCGTGTGGTGGTGGCGCCTGATTGATTGCGTCCATTAGCATCGGTGCTCTTTGCAGCTACCGCGGCATATGATCCGGACGCGCTCGTGTTGGTGGGCTTCTGGTTTTGTTTGTTTGGTAACCGAGAAGTTAGGATTGAGATTTGCTCAGCAAGCACATCAAGTTTCTCGTTCCACGAAGAAGCTTGGAAATCGAAAGTCGGAGTGGGACACGACTGTTGGGGGTCACTAACGGCGCCGCTGCCCTTTTGGAGCTTGCGATAGCGGACACCGGTCTACTGAAAAGGTTCTTTTTTGTTTGATCAAATTGATTTTGATCGAACGCTGCGTTGATCAAAACCAATATATCAGCGCAGGAGTCCACATCGATGTGTACCTGCCTGGCGATGCGACCTTTAGTCGATGGCAACTGCATCACGTTGTTTGCAACGGATACGAGTTTGCCCAAGAGGGCTGTGAGGGAACGATCCTCCTCACAGCCTGGGACTAACCGAGCCATCCTCTCAGATCGGGGGGTGCCGGTGACCGATTCGACGTGATCCTGAACCGTGAGTCCTGGAGTACTTACCCGTGCCCTCTTCTTTGAAAACTCGTTGAGGTGAGGGACTTCATTGCGTTTGGGAGTAGCTCCCAGGTTATCGGATGTGATTTCGATCTGGGGTAAGCCTTGTTCCGGTCCTTTGAGGAAGGCTGCGACCACGTCATCGTTTCGGCTAGACGCGGTCGGATTCGACCATCCGCCAGTTGATTTAGAGGTGGGATCGTCCTCTATCATCTGGCCCGTGTCAGACGCGTCGGGAGGCATCTGTCGCGAGATGTTCGTGAAAGAGAGAGTTGTTGATGATGGGAAAAGTTCGGAGAATGCGGTGGACGAGGCGAAATTTCGGGTCACGTGACCGCAAGAAAAACCTGTACGAAGTCAGAATTCCTCCTCGCAAAGATGAATCGATCATTGAGGAGCTTCAGCTAAGGTGCAGCAGAGTACTGCACTCCGAGGCTGAGGCGACCAGCAGAAGACTTTGGTAGCCGACTGGGACAAGCAAGAAGGAAAGTTGAAGATTTCAGAAGGTGTGTGTCTGCTTCTATCAATCTTAACAACAAGAACCTTTGAAACTTGATCAAATTCTGAATACCATTCAATCAAATCAATCTCAAGACTTGAAACAAATTGATTATTGGACCTATGAGGATGTCATTATTTATCTCTCATTGAACCTATCATCTCAAATCAATCATCAATCAAAGGACAAGAATCATCATCCCACAAACTAGAAGCCAAACGATCCCGAACAAAAGATACTTTAATTTACATCAATTAAATCAGCTTGAAGCAAAACAATCCTTGAAGCATCCAATTGTCCACTTTTCACTCAGGGGCAATCTTCTTTTACTACACGCGAATTTACTTCACAATATCCCAAACACGTCTTTCTTTTCAAAAAACCAACACCCTTCTAGTTTGTACAAGAAGCAGAAATCAATCTGTACATCTACATATTTATCAAATTCAAATTTAACTGCTTGCGATTACTCATTCATGAAACCTCGATAAATTTCCAAGTCATGTTGAATCTTATGTACTCTGATGAAATTCCACCTGGTTACATCCTTTTGATCGATCAATAAATCATCAAGACAACCATCATCCCATGCCTGGATCCTATCTAAGAGAAAATCATGCTAATGAACCTCATCCTCATCCTTCGTCACTTCCAAATCAATCTTGTTCACGTCCTAGACCATCAGAGCCTATTTCTAGACACAAAGTAGATCTCGACAAGCTAAGATAGTGTTAGATTTGTTACAATGATGAAGAAACTGAGACTTTGGAATCCGATCTAGTTTATTTACCCTGTTCCCACTACCTCTGCCTCACTTCAACTTCAATCTCATCAAAACCATTGATCCACTTTACAAATCAACATGGACTCAAATCCATCACCACCTGAGCCAAATTCTATGATCGGTCGACCGCTTCTTGAAGGATGGTCAGTCCATTTCTCTCTCTCTCTCTTATTCAATCGAAACAGTCATATCTTGGCCCTGATGCTGATCATATTCTATCCTTTTTGACGATCTCATTGAATTCAGATTGAAAAGATTCACGAGAGCTGCACAATTCTGCTGGATCCAATCAGAGTACTCCATTTGCTCCAGCACCTCGCCCTGTGTTTGGTGTTTCTCTACAAGAAGCTGTTTCTGTGGCTCGTGTTCATGAAGGATTAGATCTTTCTGCTGTGGTATTTAGATGTGTTGAATTCTTAGAGGCAAGGGGAGCAATTGAGGAAGAAGGCATCTATAGGCTTAGTGGTAGTTCAGTTCACATCAAGGCATTCAAAGAGCGCTTCAATACAGAAGGGGATTCAATTTACTCCAATCTTTCAAGACTGAGTTTCATGATGTACATGCTATAGCAGGATTATTAAAACAATTCTTGCGAGAGTTGGTCTCTCCAATTCTTGCTAGAGACCTTCATCCTCAATTCCTTAAAGTTATTGGTGAGTTTGATTTCCTGATTTAGACTTTGTGCTTGCTACAGACTTTTTAGAGGCTCTAATACTGTCTTTCAATCCTTTTAAACCTAACCCAAAGAAGTAACAAAGTAAATGAACTTGGTCGTTTGTGTGCTGAGTTACCCTTACCAAATTACACCTTACTTCGATTTCTATTGGCGCACTTGATCCATATTGTCCAAAACAAAAAAGTTAACAAGATGAGTATGCGTAATGCAGGAATCGTCTTTAGTCCTAATTTGGGCATGCCTGCACCACTCACCATGTAAATATCCTTGTAGCATGTCGACGTGCACACACGAAAGACTTTCCTTAGACCCTGTAAAGACCCATCAAAGAGGTACCACAACAAGCACATCTTCCCCTTATCACCTGGGAGGTTGAAAGTCAGTTGACTCCTGCTGACCACAAAGGATTCCGCAAATCCTTTGAATAAATCACTATTCACAAAGGGTGCTCAACGGCAATCTCAGTCTGATACCTTGTTTCGAAATTTATTTAACAACTCTCATAGGATTCTTTTGAGAAGCAAGCTTCTTCTTTGTTGAAAGCGGACAAGCCTGGTGGCTTAACATTCGACGGGAAAATAGCTCAATTGATCAAGGATTTCCCCAAGGCCAAACAGTGGCTTGAATGGTGGAAAGCATCCGACATCAAGGCAATGCTTTTCAAATCACGAGTTAAGCAAATTGACAACGACAGCCTTTGTGACGACATCATGCCGACAACCACTAACACACAAGAATCTATGCATCGGGTATATTACATGATATTGTGCGTATTTTCAATTTTAATATTTTGTTTTTGATTTATTCCTGTCTTTGATACCTTTCAATCTTTTTTGCCCTTTGTTCTATGCCCTTTTCAGCGAAGGTAACTGCACAATACAAGTTGGTATTGTGCAGGTATATGTGTTGGTGGCATGCCTCAAAAGGGACCACGAGGACCGCCTGAGAGGCGTATCCATCGTGTACGGCAACAAGGCCAATAACTACAAGAAAGTGGCTCAGGTTCTAGGCTGGGCCAAGAAATCTCGAAAGCCACGCGAAGCCAAAAACAATGGAAGACCACCTGACACTACAGACGCTTTCCTAGGTCGACCCAAAAGGCTAGGACGGCCTAAAGGGTCTGTCAATGTCGACCGGAACCCAGTGACTCCTTACCCAGGGTTTTAGGCTTCCTCAACCCCAGGTCGCAAATTCAGGTGTTGGCTCAATTCCATGACGGAATGTTTATACGCTATTCATTCAGCAGTTTAGTACACAAAGTCCACAGGAAAATCAGAGCACATATACTCTAAGCTTTTGACTTTATTTTCGTCAAGGTCCACCTGGGAACTTGGTCAAGCAGGAAAAATACGTGGGATTCTGTCAAACGGACAAAATACTCTCCACGATGCCATTCAAAAAAGATGTCCTGGAAGCTTTCTCCCTGATCTTTACGCCTCTGCAGATCAGTACTTCAACGGGATCTTTGACCGTGAAACTTGATCAGGTGAACCAGCTTCTCCCACAATCACTCAGTCTTTGTTTTGTTTTGGCCTCAAACGCACATACACCTGTTCCAAAAATCAAGATCATGTACATTCTAGTTGAACACTCGAATCTCAACACTGTCCTTTTGTCACACGAGAACTTGAATTTGATGACGGTTACTCTTATTCTGATACGCCACAGGTACTCCATGAATGGGCCACGACCGGCTGCCATCGAACTTCACAACGGTATTGTCAACGCTGCAAGACTAAGAAGAACCCTCATGCCCAGCCTTACGGGGTTTTCGAATCAAAACTTGTCTTGGATCCTCCACCTCCTCATTTACACATCCAAGTGGACATCGCCTATCTCCATGCAACGAATACTATCGAGGCATTCAAAATGATGAGGAAATGTGACTTACCTTACGAGATTATACTTGACGGAACCATTTACTTGATGCGCGCACATGGATTTTGGAATGGAGATCATTGTTGGTGTCAAGTGGTGCAGACAGTTGGCACTCTGACAGGTGTATGGGGTCATAATGATTCGGAAAACGCAGGAATAGCCACGTTGCTCTTGACAGACCTGAAGGTGATTGGCAGACCTTTACCATATACCTCTTGGGTGATTTATTCTTAAAGTCCTACCACAAAAGAGTCTGCAATCATCAAGACTGCAAACACCAAAATCAACCGGTCTCTGGGGCACAAGGAGCCATTGGTACGACCATTTTCACAAACAATTGACAAGGAAAGTGAAGAAGAAGGAGAATGCGAAAAAGATGAGCTTTTTCTCTCATTACCATTTAAACTTCTATCTTGAATCTTCTTATCTTATTAACTTCTCATTCATATGCTTCTCATTTAGCACCACCTGGTAATTCTGAGAAAGACCATTGTGACGACAAAGATGTCCCTTTGGCAAAGAGGAAAAAGTTAACAATCAACAACAAACAAAAACTTGGTGAGCGTTTTAATTTCAATTTCTTAATTTGAATTTTATTCCCTGCTGTTTGCTTATTTGTTCTCTCTCCAAATTTTGAAGATAAAGAGGTTACATTTGCAAAGAGGAAAACATTAACAAACAAAAACAAACCAAAACCAGGTAAGCAATTTAGTTTATCTTCTGATGTTATTGAATTCATATTTGTTTGGTCTTTATCTTTAATACAGTCAATAATAAACCCAGGAAGAGGAAGAAGAACAAAGACGAGGCACAACCAAAGAAAGACAAGGTTGAAGGAAAGATGTCTTGATGAATGAAGATGTGAATGAAGACGTACCACCGGGAGTTAAAAGTGCCAAAAAAGGTTGGAAAGGATGGACTATTGTGCCGGAAGCGGAGCTCGCGTCAAAGGTTGAAGGTCAGGAGGCTGTGGGCGGGAGTCAGGATGATGATGGTAACTTACGGATATCAAAACGCATCCCGAAGCGTAAGAGGGCGTAAGAGCGTATCTTATTTGATTTCAAGTCACTACTCTTTTTCATGTTTAATTTTCCCTTGTTTTATTTCCAATTTAATTATCTCTTCTTTGATTTATTTCCCTGTGTGATTTCATTTTTATCTTTGTCAGTATTTTGTTGTTTCTCGTGTCTCAGTTCTTCTTGTGCGGTGTCAGTTGTTCTTGGAATGTAAAATCTTTTTTCTTGAATGTTTTTGGTAGATGTTTTTTTACCCTTGTGAAAGAGTTTTTTTTTTGACTGTGAATTTTTGATTGCAAAAGTATAATTTGCGAGAGATGAAGTTCAATTTTGCAATGCTTATATTACACGGTTTGTCACGGCCTTTATAGACCGCAAAAAATTGGTTGCAAAGATACATATTACTTCAAGATTTTATACTTTTACGTCCTTGGCAATTTACGGAACACAAAGAATGCAAAATAATGATTGTAAAATTGTACTCTTGGCACATGTGGCCTAATTTTACGGTCATCTTTATACAACCATTTTTTTTGCGGAGTTTCGAAAATGAAGATGGCGTGTAAAAATAAAAAAAAAACCAAGAAAAATTGACTTTTACGGACGACACACTCTCAGGTCTTGAATGACCGTAAAACGATGATCGCAAAATTCTACAATCCCCTTTTTTAGTATGTTCAATTGTTCTGAAATCTCAAATTGAAATCTCAAATAGTCAACGCTTTGAGTGGAGTGGAGAGGTGGTTAATTGAAGGATATGGAAACATCCAACATGTGGTGAAAACCAGATTCACATCTAAACAAATTGTTTCAACTATTTGTTGAAGAGTACATTGGGAAATTAACATGTGTACTTTTGTTTCCACAATAATCTAAATGAGAATGAATTTAACTGCTCCTTGATTTACATTTGGTGAGGAAGAAACAATTAACCTGACAAGGTACTGGGCGGCCTGCCACCCCCTAGTAGTGGGTGGCCCGACACCCTCTAGTATTGCCTTGTGATTGCCTGCACCAAACAATGTTTACTGTCCTAGCACCATATTACTGATGTGGACCACATCCTTGCTGGACCCTGGATCTACCTACAATGTTGTGTTGAATCATGTCCTAATTCCATCTAACTTGAAATGTTTAGCAAATGTATCACCCACTGGACTGTATGTACGCTGCCTTTGCCTTTAGCTCAATGTAATCCTTTCAATTTCCTCTACATATTTTGGTTTGCCACACATTTCACTGGCTTAGTCAGAACTGAAATCTCCTATAGCTTGATGTGTTTGATCTCATGTTGTAACCACACTGCTTTTGTTCTTTTCCCTTTAAACTCTCATCAACTCAAAACTGAGAATGTGGTATGTTTAATCCATGATATTGTGTACAGCAGATAAGGTATAAAATCTATACAAACAGTAGACAACAATAAATCATTCCTCTTTCAAAGTGAAGAAGGTCAAAAATACTTTCAATCACATCTTCTTTTGTTTATTTTGAATTTTTGAGCCAAAAATAGACACCTGCTTCAACGGTTTGATTGTAAAACAATGACTGTTTTGAATTTTGAAGACTAAAGAAGGCTAAAAAATGTTGAAAGTGGGTTGGTAAGCTGCACAGGTGATGGAAGCAAGAACCATTATGTGAACCATGTATTTTTGTGGAAGGCTCTGTGTAGTTTGAGAGTGCTAATTGCTTCTAGGTGAATCAGGTGATGGGATTAGCAAGTAATTATCACCAGTTGTTGATCTTTTTGGTCTAGTGATTTGAGACAGGTGGTATTATCATGAACATAGTAAAAAGGCACATGTTATTAGCATAGTTGATAAACATCCAAAAGTCTTCACAAATCAAAGGCAAAGCCCAACTGGTCAAGTTTGACCCCCGAGTGATTTGGTAGTCTTCTTGTAGTGTTGGAATAGTTCATTGGGAATCCATAATCACAGAAAGCAATCAAGACAAACTATACATGAGTTGGATTGGAGCTATTCGCAATAGTTGAAGGAGATCAGATTAAGAAGTTGGATATTAAGTGATGAAAATTGATTGGTCAAATCTAATTTGAAGGATAGTGGGTCATTGCGTGAACTCCTGGGTGTGGTACTGGTATTTTTGATGATAGGTTGGATTAGCTTCATTTGAATTGCAGGTCTTGAATATTGCAATGGCC